TTATAACTTAGTGGCAGTGTAGATTCACTGTGAAGCTTCTGGTAAGACCCCTGGTTAACTCCTGGTGTTGTGCTGAGTTAGAGCTACTGTTAACTATTGATGTTACTGAATGTACAAGGCACTTTCATCTGCAGTGTAGTTATTATAAAATGTCTTACCAATAAGACATTGGTTTAAGTTGGGATGGCTATTAAGTTATTTAGTTTAATTATTAAATGCTTGCATTGCCCAAAGACTGCTTTGTGATAAAGAGGCTTTGCACCCCTGGATGTGAATATGTGCAGAATATTTCATGTGTAGTGGCAGGGTCTGGTCTGCTGTGTGCTGTGTGTTTGATGCTGAGGTACATCCCTGCGTGTCAAAATGATGCACCTGACTATTATCCTTGGGTTTTAGTTGGAAACATATGTATCTGTCCATTGAAATGTCTATTTTGAGAGGTAGAATGTGCTGACTGCTCACAGGCAGCAAATAAGTAAAGAGCCTACTTGTGTACATTTCAAAAATGTAAAATTTCTCAAATGCACTTGTGACAAAGTATTTGTTTATACAGTATATTAAAAAAACAGTGTTGAATTAAGTTTGGGTGTGCTATTGTCAGCAGCTCTGAGTGCTGCTATAATCAGTAGCATGACCCTTGTTTATAACCTTGTGGGTACCTGGAGTAGTTGTTCAAGAATCCACATCAGTCTTATTCTCTAGCTGTGGGTTTGGTAGCAAGATATGGAGAGTAGATGGGGGGAAGATTCACAACTGGAAAACTGGGGCAAGGGGGGAACAAACTCCATCCAGCAGTTAGCTGTCTAGATGTAGGTAAGCTGTAAATAGGGGAGTCTTTTCACCTTTCTTCATGGCAGCCATCAAGGAAGAAATGTGGAGGAATTCATTCACGCTTGGCACGATGAGCTGGTGTGTGTGTGTGTTTAAGGCATCTGCTGGCCAGAATCTGAGTCTGCACAGATGCCTTGATACAATTTAGAGATCTGAATGCCTCCTTCCATCTCAGACTTGGGATTCTGGAGAATGTTGTGTATCTCTGTTCCTTATAATTTCCCTGTCAGTCTGTCTGGTAATTGCCATGCATTCAAATCCATCAAATAAATACTTTATGTTGGGGGGAGCAGCACAAATGCAAATTCTTTCCTACCTGCTATGGTCTTGCATGATTTTGAAGGAGTCGTACTTTGCCTGCCTCATCTTATCAATTCTTTGTAGAATTGTATTAAAGCAAATGTTATTTCCTTGCTGTGAATAGGGAAAATTAGTTCAAGGGTTATAAAAAGAATCGTGGTGTGTTTGGAATAGGTTGTAATTCTGGCCACAGCATGTATAGAAAAGCTTGGTAGATATCTTAAAAGATCTGTTAATTTATTAAAGGAAAAGCTTTGAAGGACAGCAAATGTGTAATAGGTTCAGTACTGAGGGAGGGTCAGATTCTGATTTCTAACACATTAGCCCTAACCTCACTCTTTAGAAGTTTAGCTTTCATGTTTTCTCATTGCATAATGTCACAAGCTGTAGCTGCAACACTTGTCTGTTAAGCATCATAAGCAGGCTCTGACTGATGGCTTTGGCAGTTTATATGTGCAGGAATTCAGCTTAGAGGAGGCAACTGTGCTCTTTTAGATATCTCTGGAACAGAGAAATATGTTACTTCTGCAGAACAGCTGTCCCAAAGTAGGAGTTGGGAGGTAGGGAATGACTTCTACAAGCTATTCATCTGTGAGGAAACAAGCTACCCAGATGAATATTTGTTTCCTGAATGCCTGTATCCTTTTATGTCCCAAGAATACTTTAGATGTCACCATTCCTGCTTCTCTGATTATTTTTTTTAATTTAAATTGCTCATTCTTTTTTCTCCTCTTACTTAGACACTACTGACTCCCCTTAAAGATTTTTCTCTTCCAGGCTGTGTATTACTCACACACGTTTCCTTGTGTTGTTCTTTTTGTTCTTCCTTTCACTTTTTCAGTATTTTCCGTCTCCTTTTTCTTAAAATTTTTTTATTTCACGTTTCTGTTCCTTGAAACCACAGGCTCAGTGATGTTTGTACTAGCCATGGTTGCATATGCTGCATTCCTGGCTTCCTTCTCCCTTTATTTAAGCTTGTTAGTCCATAATCTCTTTGGATAATGAGTTAAGTATGATCATGGCTTCAAGTAGTGGAATCTCAGTGATGCTGTTGGGCCCACTTTGAGGAAACAGTCTCTTCTTTTCTGAAGAGGAATGAAACATGACCTCAATTTCATTAGTTCCCTTCCTTCCTTTGTCAGAACGTAATAGTGTATACACAGAATAAGGAAAGTCATAAAATGACACAATTTGAAATGTTTCCATTAGCAGAATGAAATAGGCTTGAAGTATGAACCTGAAAGGTTGGAGAAGTTGTATACAGGAAATCACTCCAACTTGTCTTGATCTAGAAATACCTGAAAATGGAGACCTAGGATGCCTCACTGGGGAATATACACAACTATGGCTAGTTTTCCCTTTGCTACTGCAAGAGGAGCAGGTATGTGATTGGTTCCTGGTAACTTCTTGGTCCTATCCAAGTGTTCTCCGGATTGATGGGAACCTTTCTGTTGATGTAATTAATATAAACTTGCAAATTTTTCCTTTATGAAGCCTAAAGGAAGACTTGGTTAGAATTCTCAGTGAGCTTGCTCTGTTACAAGCTACCTTTCATTGTGAGTTCTGTATCACCCTGAGAAAAATTTATGTTCAAATATTTCCTGTCTCTAGCTTATATACCAACTTGGGTGACTTTGCTTCAAGGTGAAAGACTGGTAGAGTTTGTTAAATGGAACCACTTAGAGATAAGATTTTGTGTTCATAGCTGACATCTGAGCAGCTGTCCTTAAAACCAAACTGCAAACCCCCAAAGTGCCCCTTCTGCTGCTGACAGAGCCTTAGTTACACTGGAGACACATTCTGCAGTTCCTGTGGCTGCACCACTTCTGTGACAGGTTTTGCTGCTTTCACAACTACCTGGGTGGGGGCAAATGGCGGCTCTGCTTTTCGGGGAGGAGGCCTGGGTGTAACTTCTATGACTGATGGTTTCAATTAAAATAAAAAAAAAAGCTAGATCCTGTTGTGTTGTCACCTGTAAGCTCTCTGTCAGCTCTGACCCGTGGCTGATTACAGTGACTCAGCCAGCTACTTGAAAGCAGGTAATGACTGAAAGGTATAACTAATACCCAGCCAAGTTTAATAATAATAAGAAAAAAAATAGTTACCTATACAGATTTTCTCATACCTTAATGTTCCTTTGCTGCGTGGTTGCACTGCTAACTTCTCCTGTCCTTGGTGATTTTTCAGTTGTCTTTTGAAAGTGTTCAAAGTAATAGTTGGATGAGGCATCAAAGAAAATGATGTAGTGAAAGATGTCCCTGCCTGTGGTGGGAAGGGTTAGAACTAGATCTTTGAAGGTCCTTTCCAATCCAAGCCATTCTATCATTCTTTTCTTGATACATTCCCCTTTGAGTACATCTTGCCTGCTCTATCTGAGTATCTTCCTTCTCCTTCCTTCTTCCTTCTTTCCATGATTGCCTTTCTCTGAAGGGTGGTGGCAGTGTAGGGGAATCAAGATCCTTGGTTTGTGATACATCTTGGTCTTCAGCCATATTATTTCAGCTATATGACTTCAGTATCTAGAAAATAATACATCTATTTAGTGTTTTACCATTTTTTACCCCTTTGAAGTTTATTGTTGGTGTTTCCATCTGTGCTTTGAAAGACAAAACTGGACACTAAACAGCACCTTTGATTATGAAAAGCAACATAAAACAGAGAAGTTGTAAATATGCCATTTTCTTTTTTAAGCATTTCCCTAACATTCATGTAAAGTTTTATTTTTAGAACTTTTTGCTGTTGGGTCTGCCTCTGGAGTGCTTAGATGACAAATGGTGTCCATATGTGCTTATGAACGCTCTTGGATAATTACTTTGGAGCAATGTGAGGAAATGTGGAATCCTGAGCAACGAGTTATTTAGGAGGACTTGAAAGCTGTCAGCTGTACCAAATTTTTACACCCCTGTCAGCCATCCTGCCACCAGGACAGATCAACCAGAGTCAGTGAGGTCCTGTTATGATTGACTTTGTAATTACCATCGGATTTGGGTTGGTGCTCAGGCAAAGTGTGTTCCTTTACTCCTGTGCTCATAGGTGTTTATTTCGTTAGAATAAAATGAGACGCAAGAAATCTCTACCATTGGCTGAAGTGAACTCGGTGTTTATGACATTATTTCTTCCTCCTTTGGCTTATATTTTTAAAGATGGACACAGGAAGTGAATTGACAGAAGCAAAATACTAAAACTGGTTGTGAAAGTTCATGTTGTGTGCCACTGTGCGTTGCAGTCACTTTGCATGACAGACGTGACTCACACAAAAGCAAATAATTAGAACTGGATTAACAGAACTGTAGAGGAATGTTTAAATTTTCCAGTATGGCAGGATAATGTTGGTATACACTATTTTTGAAAGTTTGGGTGTACTGGAGATATATGTGGTGTTCAAATTGATGGTGTTGCTTTCAGAGGTAGTTAAGCCAAGCTGCAATGGGGGAAATTCTTTCCTGCTTGTGTGGTTGTTGGAAGTTGTCTTGTGGGGTTTTCTGTGCAAGATGATTGAGTCAAAGTGACTTGAATGCTTAGAAATATATGCTACAACATAAGATTTGCTTTTATGTTAAAGGAAAGTTGAATCTCTGTAGGCACTTATGCTTCCTGTGGGGTCTCTGGAGAATTTGCTGTATCTTTACAGCAAATTTATTTAATGTGTCTTTAGTTATGCATTCAAACTCATGGTGTTACTAACATATACTCTTTTTTTTTTCTGGCAATGGAAAGGCTTTTTAAACACAGGAAGCTCACTAAACAGGGTTCATTGAAATATTAATACGTTTTCTGAAATCCCTAGCTGCACTGATGCTTAATCTCAGGGGTACAGAAATACTTTCACTCAGTTTTTTGAATAAATGTATTCTGTTCTTCTTCAACAGAGGTGTTATGAACATAAGCAGTATAGAAATGGGCTGAAGTTCTGTAAACAGATCCTTTCCAACCCAAAGTTTGCAGAACATGGAGGTAAGTTTTCAAATGGTATGTGCTCTCTTTTTTTCCCCTGTACTTTACAGTAGAGTAATAATTTTAAACTTTGATAGCATGTTGCTGCTAACCTTCTACCCGTGAAGCATTGAGAGTGTCCAGAAACTTGCATATTAAGCACTTACTGTTGGTAAGATTTGTCATTTTTAAGACTAATCTTACCAGTAGTCATAGCTTGCCATTCTTGAGCCTCCAAGTCTAAAACTCCTTATAGCATGGTGCAGGTTTCTCAATACAAGTATGTATGGCTTAGATCACTTTTCAGGGGAAATTGGTGTTCACTCACATGAAAGTGAAAGATGAAAGGAAGAGGCTGAATATTGTTCAGTATGTCTGTCATCTCTGTGGTCTACCACTTCTCTGAAGGAGTAGTCTTATTCTAAAAGAAGAAAAAGGTGTTTGTCCTCTGCTGTATTTTCAGTTAGTTCTTAATACTGAGTTGAAAGTTTCTTTCCACTGTTCAGAAATGTTTTGTGGGTTTTTTGCAACTAGTTTGGCATGGCTGGATGTGTGGAAGTCTCAGGGTTGTGAATAAATACTTGAGTAGTTATAACATGCCTTTACATTAAAAAAATCTCCAAGTGTTTGTAGAGCAGACAGTTTTTAGTGCCTTTAAAATAAAATGTTACTTTGTTTTGGTGGAAGTAATATATGAGGTTTGTTGTCACGTATGATACACTTAAATGAATAATCTGACAGTATAGTTTTCCACGAGAAAAAAAGAATGGGAAATATTGATGCTGATGACTGAATCTAAATTTGCATTTATACTATATTTAGTTTTGCTATACTAAGCTTAAAACCTATGAAAATGAGTAACTGATACTTATTTAATATTTTTTTTTCTATTTTAGAAACCTTGGCAATGAAAGGACTAACATTAAACTGTCTAGGGAAGAAAGAGGAAGCTTATGAACTTGTGCGTAGAGGCCTAAGGAATGACTTGAAGAGTCATGTCTGTATCCTTTTTGAAACAAGGCTTTTGCTTATGAATTGAAAAGGTTTATTTCTACAACTACTTGATTTATAGCATAGCCAGTACCACTGACCTTCACACTGGAAGTTCAGAATTTTCAGTTTCGTTTCCAGTACATAAGAATATTTTGTCTGAGCTGTCCAAAGGGCTTTGCAGCTCTCCTTGCAGTCACAGTTAGCTCAAATATTACTCTGGCTTGCATTGTGTGTTATTTTGATCATTGAACTGCAACTCTAAACTTGTGATGGGCATTTAAGCATGTGATTTACTCTAAAAACATTAGTAGTTGCCATTACATTGTTAAAGACTTGTCATAGAGTGCAGGAAGTGCAAGCACTTCAGTTATCTATAAATGTGTTCAAAGTAAGCCTAGTAGTGTTTTCAGAGATCCTCTTACTTTATTTCCTCCCCCAGTATGTGAAAAGGAAAGCTTACAGCACGTTATATGAACCTTACACATATAACTGGCAAAGTTCTCTGGTGAAAAGAATTGTAATGTTACTGTCCTTTTATAAAACAGCTCGAGAGCTTGTTGCTTACTGTTCTATCACTGTTAGATCTGTTTTCTCCCTGCTCTAATTCAATGGAAGCCTTAACAGAGTTTTCTAGGTTGGCATGTCTATGGCCTTCTTCAGAGGTCAGACAAGAAGTATGATGAAGCTATCAAATGCTATAGAAATGCACTGAAATGGGACAAAGACAATCTTCAAATCTTGAGAGATCTTTCTCTGCTACAGATTCAAATGAGGGATCTTGAAGGTTACAGGGTAAGTATACATACTGCCTTTAATCATCATCTAGGAAACTGCAGCAAACGTGTCAGATTGTTTTGAAAAAAAATATACATTAGATCCAGTGTTAAAACTATGTGCCACTCGATGCAATTTCTGTAAAGTATGCAGATTTAATGGCATATTAAATTATGTGTTTCCAGCTTAGTGCAGAATTGCTTGCATTTCTTATTTTTTTTGGTGCTGTATAATCCAGCTGTAGACATTCTCCAGTCTTATTATTTTCTTGAAATAATAATAATAATACTAGGCAAATTTCATCATATAATTTCATGCAGTATGCTGCATGAACTATCATACTTTGCCTCCCGGCTCCTTTGGGTCCAAATATTTCCCGCGAGCTGTAAGACTGTGGATCAGACCTCTTGAGTACTCTTCTTTCTTGATTTAATTCTCAGAATGCTTAGATTACTGTCTTGTTTTCTGCTGTTTGCTTTCTAGTAAAGCTGACTGCAGTTTGTTAACTTAGACCACAGCCCTTTTCCTGCCTGTTACTGCAGCACCCAGTTATTTGCTGCCTTGCGGCAGTTGTTTGTTTGCCACCTGAGATGTTGTTTTATGCTACCCAACATTTACAAGGTGGTAGTGCCATGGCAATGATACTCCTGTAAAGAACACAAACTTTCTGTTGTCTCCTCTACAAATGCTGCTTCTAATGTAGTTAGAGTGGTTTTTTTCTGTCACCTCGAATTGTGAACTGATGTGTGCCAATACCTTTATTTTCTTAAAAACTAGCAGCTGCTGTTTAGTATGTGTATTGCAGAGATGTTGATGTGGTTCTAATTGCAACCTGTGATCAATGGATGGCTCACATAGGATTAGAAAGCAATTACTATAGAAGGTTTGTTTTTTTATTACTGTGCCATCCAAGGAGAGATGGCAGTGGTCACTCGAACATTAATGAATTGGAAAAAAACCCTTAGTTCCTCCATTTTTTTGTGCCTGGAAACTTGTCTGATTTTCAGCTAACGTGGACTGGTGTTAATACAGTATTCCTTTCCCCTGGAAAAAAAAAGAGAGATTTTTTTACCTGAGAGACCTTGAATAATTTTTTGGGGGTACATTTTCATCTTTTCATGTGTTCTTTGCACCACTAAAGTCGTGGTTGTTAAAACAAATTAGTTGGTCTCTTAATAGATTATTTCCTTTTCAAATTAGGATAATGTTCATGTTTACATTACAGGTATGCCAAGAGCAAATTCTGTTCCCAGAGCTGTGTGGAACCATCAGCTAGTACAGGTCCTCAGTGAACTTATTCCTGAGTCAGGACAATTTTTAATCACTACTTTTTTTCATATTAATAATTCAGAAATGTGATTCCTCTCTTGCTGAGACAAGATAGCTAACACTTAGCATAGGTGCCAAATACATTTGCAAATGTGTGTTCTCTTGGCCTCTGGATAAATACATGTTTAGCAATTACAAAATTTGTATTCACAAGTAACATGTGGTTATAGAATGCATTAAGAATTAAATGTTAAGATGCTTAGAACCCGGTAATGCATGACTGGTTCATATGCTGGTTTCTGAAGAATGTGAATTTACTCTCAAAACTGGGAATAACCTTGTGTTTTGGGTTGGGTTTTTTATTTTGCTTTAACTTCCACCCTCTCCTACTTTGTAATATTTTGACTGATCATCATTCTAGTCAAAGTGCTGTAACTAGTTTTAATTCTTTGTTAATTCCTTCTTCTGAAAGTTTGGGCTTTTTCAGTAGATAGTTACTTTTTTCCTTTATTTTAAGTTACTTGAAGATGCCTTTCAGGAGTCTGTAACAATACAAGTAATAACTTTTTTGTCAGATTAAAACTGTGATACCAAGCAAATTGATGCATTTCCAACTGTAATTTTCTTCTTGCCAAAGGACAGGGACGTGTTTGTGTGACCTATGTTGCCTAACAACACTTTTAAGGATTTAATACATACATACTTTCAAGGTGAATTTGAAACACCAGTAAATGTTCTTGCAACTCAACCCAAAGTATCCTTAATTACCTTCTGTTCATAAGCAGTAAGACAGGAAAAGCATGTGTGTCATACATTAACAAAGTTAGTCTGACTCATCTGGATTCAACTGGACATGATGTGTTATTTTGTGTGCTGTTTTGTTTTTTTTATTTGGTGAAGACCATCGTAGTTTAAAGATTATTCTTTCTTTTGGTTAAAAAAAATGCATGTGGAAAACTAACTTTTAGCGACCTCCTTAAATACTAGAATACTGAAGACAGATTACTGCCTAATGGATTCTACAGAGCATCAAAATAAAGTCAGGAAAATTAATAGCTACTTTTTTGCAGGAAACGAGATACCAGTTGCTCCAGCTCCGACCTGCACAGCGAGCATCATGGATTGGTTATGCCATCGCTTACCATCTGCTGGAAGACTATGAAATGGCAGCAAAAATTTTAGAGGAATTCAGGAAGACACAGCAGGTAAGAGGAGAACATGAAATTCCTGTGTGGATTACTGCTTCCTTTCGTGATGGGAAAACTTTGTGCAGTTTCTTCAGTCAAATGAATCTGACCCCAGATTCTGGAATCAGAAGGCTGAACTGTCTCCTGTGTCTTGCTTTCCTGTGTAGACATCACCTGATAAAGTGGACTATGAGTACAGTGAGCTGCTGCTCTATCAAAATCAAGTCCTCCGGGAGGCAGGACTATATAAAGAAGCCTTGGAGCATCTTTGTACCTATGAAAAGCAGATTTGTGATAAACTGGCTGTCGAGGAAACTAAAGGTAATTACTTTGTGAAGATACGTTTAAATACATAGCACACAGCGGGCTGTCTGTGCTGTCAGCTTTCCCCATCTTTTGTAACTTCAGCTTTGATTTGGTTTTAGATTAACTTATTTAATTTTGCTGTTGTAAAGGACTGCTTGTCTTGCAGCTGTTGAGTCCCGGTCATGCTCTTCTCCCAGGTCATGATGTAAGACATCAACAGAGCATCAACAGACTGAAACTTGTAATCTAACAGGTGTTTCAGACAGATGATCCTGAACTGGTGTCCTGAAGTTCTTTTAGAATAGTGTACCCAGACCCATTCTGGTTACAGCTTTCCTAGTGGTCCTGACAGGGATGCTGCTTGCTGAAGGGGAAGACTCATCTTTGGCACAGTAGAAGGCTTTTAGTTGTACTCAGTCACCCTTGCAGAATATAGAGATAGTCTCGTTGTTGGGTTGCCATCTATAGGCTTCTGCTGTTCTATTATTATAAACTTAGTGTGTAATACTATAACAGGTCAATGTAATAGTGTATCTTATATTGCATAGCTGGAATTGCAGAGTGATAGTTCATTCTCACAGCTCTGTTAACAGGTGCACTTTCTTAAAGCATGTTTTCTTCCTTTACTGCTTGTACAGTCTTTCTGTGAAACTTCTGTTTGGATGATTGCTTGAAGCAAAGAGAAGAAATTTTTTATTGCCTCATATTATTCGTATAGATGTTGTAGCTAATTCCCTGTTTCTGCTAATGGTAATCTCACTGTCCTGCAAAATGAACCTAGGAATTTAGTAGTGGTAGTATTATGGGAGATATGTGGCACTTCCTCAAGGAAAATGTTTGCAGATGACTCTCCGTGGGTGCAAATATATTATTTGATTTGCATATTAAAGGATATGGATGTAGAAATTACACTATCACAGACCAGTTTTGAAACATAGTAGCAGGACTTTTGGGCGTGGGAGTGTGTTTTTATGACTTACCTGAAAGATCTTTTGGCATACTTGGTGTTTTTAAGTGTTTAAAGGTCCAAGGCTGGTAGTGAAATAGGATTTTCAAGTAGGACTGCATAAAAAAGAAAAGTAAACCCCGCACCAAAAACCAAACCAAAACACACAACCTCCAAGTAAGTTACCAGAAAAAAAAAGAATGGAAATACTCTTTGCAATCTGTGTGTTTTCAACAGGGTCAACAAATTAATTTTTTGGGGCACAGCTCCTGTTGTATTCTTTGGTCTGACTTAGCTGCTGCATATGCTACTGCTAATAAATAAGTGCTATGTACAAATTTTAAATGCATGTGTAAAAGCCATTGTGAATGAAATACAACTGACAAACACTGAATATTGTATTGATATTTGCCACTGTTAGAAAAAAATTAGCTTGCACCTTGAAGAAAGAATTCAGGTTTATTTTCCCAATTCCTTCTCAGTGGGTGAACTACTGATGTTTTCCTGGGCATTAGATTCTGTGTGTATTCCTTGAGTTATCCAAACTATGGGAAGCAGCATCTCATGGCAAAATTGCGTGTCAGTTGTGTGATGCAGGGAAGAAGAGAGGCAATGCTGAGTTGTGTTTTCCTCTTGAAACCAGATGAGGAAATCTTACCTTAATGTTCACCTGTGGCTTGTGACCTGTTTGTGCCTAACACCTGCCAGTAGCAAAACTTTGTAAAATATGGTTTTTCCATTTTTTTTTGTAAAATATGTAAAATACAAAATGGGAAATTGACTCCTGCAATTCCAGCATTAGCAAAGATGCAAGTATCATTAAAAGGAAACTTGTTTGCAGAATCTTGAGAATCCATTAATCAAATCAATGGCTTGATTAAAAACTCTGAAGTTAGTTTTATGAAATACCAGACTGAAGAACCATTCTTTTATTTGCAACTCTGCAGTTTCAGTTTGATTTTCAAGATGCTAAATAGTGTACTGCTTTTAGTTGCCTTCTGTGGTAAAAACCGCACTTAAAGTAACCAGTCACTTCAGTAAGTGAGAAAAAAACCCACGTGCATCTTGCTTTTAACAGTAAATTTTCAAGTAAATTTTAGAAGTTATGGGCTGAGTTGTAAAATCTTACTGTAATCGCAGCTGTTGTCAAAGTAAAAGCATATCTGTCAGCTAGTTTGTAATACCATTGTGGTCATTTTTTCAAAGAATTTAGAATCTACAAGAGTTAAGATTATCTGTTGTCTTCCTGTAGAGTGATTAATGTTAGACTGCTTCAGTATCTTGTTACCTTAATTTAAAACTTCTTGAATTTCACACAGGAGAACTCCTGCTTCAGCTTGGCAGACTTGAAGAAGCAGTTGAAGTCTACAAAGGACTGCAAGAAAGAAATCCTGAAAACTGGGCTTACTACAAAGGCCTAGAAAAGGCACTTAAGCCAGGTAATTATTTGATATCTTGTAGTAAATAAGCTTTTTCTGCATGTTTGAAATTTATATATGTATGGAAAACTTGTATTGCTTTAAATATTAAAACTATTATTTTAAAAGTCCTCATTTAAGTTTTCCCTTTTAGTCATAGTGTGTACATGTTGTCATAATGCTGGGGTTTTTTTAAGAAAGACTGGAAATATTTCTGGTATTGTTGTTACCCTTGTCTTATCTAAAATCATAGAATCAAAAAAATGCAGTAGTCTTTGTGTGTGGTTGAAAGAATGGAATTATTTCCTAGAAGAGTTTTAATTTAGAGTTTTACTTTACTGTCTGTTATCTTATGTTGTAGCTAATACAACTGAAGGGCTTTCTTCGAAGATTTTAGCACAGTGATAAGGCAGGAACTCAAAGATGAGAGATTAAGCAGTTAGTCTTGGGAAGAGGAATTAACAGATACTGAGTACCTTGGAATCATTTAGTGCATCAGTTTTAAAAACAGTAAAGAGGAAATTGATGTTCTTTAGGAAGCATGGAGCTTTTAGTTGATGTATGTATCCTGATCCTATTTTTAGCCAGATACAAATCACTTTCCTTGCCCCCCTTTCCCTTCTTGCCAAAAAGGAAGGGAAAAGTAAACTGGAAAATTCTCTTGCAGCTAATATGATGGAGAGGCTAAAGATCTATGAAGAGGCCTGGACTAAATACCCAAGGGGACTAGTTCCAAGAAGATTACCGTTAAACTTTTTGTCTGGTAAGTGCATTTTTGCTGAGCAGGTAGTGATCAACACTTGTGTTTCTGAGATGCTGTTTTAACAGCATAAACAGTCTGCAATTGATGAGTAATGTCTGGTAAAACAAAATCAACAGGTCTTTTTCCTCTCAAGGTGAAAAGTTTAAGGAATGTCTGGACAAGTTTCTAAGGATGAATTTCAGCAAAGGTTGCCCGCCAGTCTTCAATACTTTGAGGTCATTATATAAAGACAAGGAGAAGGTGAGTGTTTTTAACCACTTTTTACCTGTTCTACATGGTAACTGTGGTGCATTGAAGACATAAAGGAGACTTTTCTTCAGTGTTCACTCCATCAGCACTGCTGCATGTTACAGCCTGGTATAGCTAAAAAAAAAATGAAGTACATGCATACATCAAGCAAGCATAGTCTTGTGCCAACTTGGTAAATGTAGAAAACTCAGATTTACGTATTCTAAGCTGTGTAAGTGTTCACCAAAGGAGGCTTGGTCTTAATTTGTTGAAAATAGATGTGAGTTTGAGTATACATATTGTTCCCATATGTAATGTAATTCAGGATATCGCAGAATTTTCTTACCAAAAATAACTAATTTGGGTAACACCAAGTAGCTGAGGTTGAAATAAAATACCATCTGGCCCACAGATTATTTTTTGTGTGTCTTGTCTTGCATGTGTAGGTGGCAATCATAGAAGAGCTCGTGATAGGTTATGAAACCTCTCTAAGAAGCTGCAGGTTATTTAACCCAAATGGTGAGTGCCAAGACTGTTGTACTTCATGGAAGTAATGCCTGGTGTAAGCATTGTGTCCATTCAGAGGTGGGGAACTAGTGAGGAGTGAAGAAATAGAGATGATTTTTTTCCTTTTTCCCCCTAACATGGAACTCTACCATAGCTGTCAAATGTAAAGTCTGTATTCAAAATGTAGTCACTTGTTCTGAACTTTTTTCCCGGACCCATGAATTTGGTCATCTCTTTGCAGTTTTGACTTCAGATATTCTATTTTAAAGACTTGAGTTTATCACTGTTGAGGAAACTGAAATTTGAAAGCTACGTCAAATCTTTAATTACAGAACGTCAAACAAAAAAGAATATGCACTGATAGCACAACCTTCATGGAGAGGTAGTTTTTGAGCTTTTGTTGGAGGCTGGGTTTTCTGTTCTTGGAGGTTCTGCACATCGATTGCCCCGACTAAGGGAATACTTGGAACAAAGCTCCCTTCTGACCCACTAACTCCCTTTCCCTTAAAACCACAGAAGGACAAGGGAACAGGATATGCTCAAGTCTTGCATAGACTTAGAAGCTAATGTACTTACCTGGACCCAGTTGGTTGGAAGCACTCCCAGGTCTGGTGTGACAGCCTGATATAGTGGCAGAATTAACTTCAGTGTGTGTATTTATAGCACTCTGCTTCTGGCATGTTGTTTTAATAAACTGAACAAAAGAGCCTCTCTCTGTTCTGCTCCCTCCAGATGATGGCAAAGAAGAACCTCCAACCACTTTACTCTGGGTCCAGTATTATTTGGCTCAACATTATGATAAAATTGGACAGCCGTCCCTGGCTCTAGAATATATAAATGCTGCTATAGAAAGTACTCCCACTTTGATAGAACTCTTCCTTGTGAAGGCAAAAATCTATAAGGTAAGTGTGGCTTATCCTTAGTGACCAGAGGTTATTCATTTGTTATGAATGTGAGTTTTAGTGAGTTTCTAGATAAGGATATTGTTTAACTACCTGGGGGCTTTTTTTTGCTCCATATCAGTAAGCCCCTGTGAAGGTTTTTAAGTAAGTAAAGGACAAATGTACAGCAAAATGTAAATTCTCAGTTTAAAAAGCACACTGATAAATTTGAGTCTATTCTTACCCTGGGTTGTTTAACTACTTAGAAACAGTTTCCCAACTACACTATGATATTGTATCAGAATGGGATTATCCAAAGCAGTCCTTTAAGCATTTTCAGGAAAAACATCTAGTGCTAAAAGACCAATAATTCCATAATGAGGGAAAGTGATTTTACTGCTTTTTTTAATTTAAAGATCTGTTGCTTTTGAAGAAAGCTATTTATTAAAAAATGTCTAGAAAGTTAACCAATTTATGTTAAACAGCAAGTAGATAAAATGTGCATGTTTTATAATTACTGAATCTGACTCAAATTTCCATCTCTTTAGCATGCTGGAAATATTAAAGAAGCTGCAAGGTGGATGGATGAGGCTCAGGCTTTGGACACAGCAGACAGATTTATCAACTCCAAATGTGCAAAATACATGTTGAAAGCAAACTCCATTAAAGAAGCAGAAGAAATGTGTTCTAAGTTTACACGGGTTTGTTGCTTTTAGCTACAGCTCTTTTGGATAACCTGGGCCTAATCCCTTGTGGAATAACTTTGTGTTTTAACTTTGCACTGACCTTTACTGTAATGTTTAAGTTCTGTTTCAGAGCACCTGTGTTTTCTTGCTTCACTTGTGGTAGTCCATAGCAGGGTTTGAATTATTCTAGGATAGGCATGATCCATAGCATTAATTGAAGAGTCTATCCAGCTTGGATTTGATTATTTTTGCCAGGTAGGAAAAATACAGCATTTTTGTTTTAGAGAGAACTTCTCAGTAAATAATTTTTTCACAGTAATCTTTGGGTTTAATGCTGATTCTGTAGGATACTTGAAAGATCTGGTAAAATTGTCCATGTCTCTTTTAAGCTTTTTTTTTTCTAATGATGGTAAGTTAGAGAATTCAAACTTCTCTTGGAACATAATTTTTGTGTGACTACCAGGTGAAAGGCTTTCTGAGATGTCTTTCTTGCGTGAACACACTTTCATCCCTGAGGCCATGTTTAACTGTGATGGAGGGAAGCTGCATGTTATATCTTTTTTTATTTTTCCATCTGCTTACACATGACCAGTTATCTGGTAGAAAAAGTTTTGCCTTGTGCAGATTGCTTAATTTCATACATCACTTTTGTCCCTGCAGTGACCCATTTTGATAGGTTTGATGGTCACACAGGTTAGTTACTTTGTTTAAATTTACTTCACTTGATGTTATTCTTTCATAACTGAAAGTCAAAGCAGCTCAGTGAAGTCTTCCCAGACTATTTATCAAGTGATAGTTTTAGGATACAGGTAATATCATTTATGTTGTCTGTGGGAGACAGGCAACAAGCTCTTGGGATCTACCTTCAAAGGTAAAGCCTTTTCTGTTTGTTGTCCCATTTTTCTCCTCTCTTGAAGAGCAAGAGAAACCTGGTATAAGTTGGGTTGAATGGAGAGGAGGGGGAGCAGTTTTTATAAGGGGAAATCTGGAGGGTCTTTGTGAAATGTGTGCAGGCAAACATGAGGGCAGGGGAAGTTCTGTTTTATATAAACTCAGTAACTTAATGTGGGGTTTTTGTTGCAAATCTGATATGAATTTAGTTGATTTGACCTCCCTCAATGCCTTAAGCAGCTTTAAGATGATGTCAAAAAAGCAAGCATACCAGTTACCCAAAACTGAACTTGAAAAGTATAATTGATGATATTGCTCTGTGTAATCTTTTTATCTCTTTGATCTTATGCCTAGTGCTCAAATACAAGCTTCTTAATTAAAAAACAGTTAAAGGAGACCTAAAGTAACCATAATGCAAATGGAACTGACATTTTTTTCTCACTTCTAGCTGCCTAAATCAGGCTGTTTTGAACACTGCCTTTCTCTTTCATTGCTAAGTTCTCCAGATCTGTGCAAGTATATATAAATACCAGATTTGAAAGACAACTGTAATCTCCTTTTTTGAACCAGAAGGTGTCTTGAGTTAACAGTATTCCTTTTGCCTTGCCACTGCTCCCTAGTACTGATGGCATAAGAAATCATCTCCTACTGCTGTCAGTTAGTACACTTAGCTGAATCAGCAGTTCTCTGGAAGGTACAGATGGCAGCTTTAGTTAAGAAAAAAAAAAATTCCTGCAGGATTTCCTGCAGCTGTCAGTGTCTTGCCATGTGCTAGAACTTTCCTGCCATTTTTTTTCATGCCACAGTGTGTTACTTGTGTGCACACAGTGTTAAAAATACTGAATGAAGGTCTCAGCTATCCTGAAGCTGAGGAACCATCACAGTTAAATGGTCACTACCTGGCTCTTCATTGTTTCTTTCTGACTCTTCAGTAAATGTAACAAAGGGTTTTATATTTTTCTTAAATTGATGAACAAAGCAAGTCCATCTTAACTGTGGCATTTCCAACTTTCAGGACTCCAGTTCTGAGATTGAGCATTTCTTTGGATAGCATCCTTATTTGTACTTTTAATTAGGAGAAGATAAAAAGGAAATAGAAGTCAACAAATGGAATGAGAGATTTATTTTTTATGCAATGCTGTTTTTGCTTTTAGGAAGGAACCTCGGCAGTGGAGAACTTGAATGAAATGCAGTGCATGTGGTTTCAGACAGAGTGTGCACAAGCCTACAAGGCGATGAACAAATTCGGAGAAGCACTTAAAAAATGCCATGAAATTGAGAGAGTACGTATCCAGTTAAACTTGCCTGGGTTGGAAAACACTGGCTTAAGTTCACTCTGCTGATATGTTTCTTTTCTGAGCAGTAAAAGTATACTTCATGTAGCTCCAGGAGAGATTTTGTTTCATGTTGGTTACTGGCAAGTTGATAAGTTTACATTTCCTCCTAAAAGTGCCATTGTAAACTGTGTGTTATGAAGAGATTTTTTGGAAGTTATTTGAAGATCCAGAAGAGAGAGGAAAGCTCTGAGAAATATTGGCAGTGTACATAAAAAAATACGTATTTGGGTAAAAATAAAAACTAAGTGTACTTTAAGTCCAGAAATAACATGACTGAGCTGACAAGCCCATTCGTGAAGTAAAGGAAAAAAACATCATTTTAGTTACTGTTTAAGCACTGTTTTAGTGGTAGACGTTAACTTTAAAAAAACCATCAAAAATATTGAGTATCTTCTCCTTAAGAAAAAAAATAAAATTAAGCTACAGTTTTAAAGAAACTATTGGAAATATAACAACTTCTTAAAGTAGAAATTGTGTTTAAAAAAGGGGGAATACTCGCATATTAAATGCAGATCCATAGTAAGGCAAACAACACAATTTGGATCCACAACTTCAAAAAAAAAAAAAAAAGTATGGGTTTGGGTTTTTTAAAGCACATTAGGGTCTAGAAAAAGACCTGACAGCTGAGGGTGTAAATGAAGTGCTGAAAGAGCAGAACTTAGTAGGAAGCTGTGCCTCTTTGCAAATAGAGAGGCTTTAGGAGGTTTCAGCACGGCTGCTTTTCTGCAGAGAAATATTCTCTGTGGAATATTGCCTGTGGAATATTCTCAGAGCAAATTATCAAAGTAACCTGGCCTAGTGAAAGGTGTCCCTGCCTGTGGCAGAGGGTTGGAAATAGCTGACCTTTAGGTCCCTTCCAACCCAAACCATTCTGTGATTTGCCAGGACCATGTTTTGTTCACAGAAATCCTTTAAATAAGTTAGATTCTTGTAAAAGAATATGTCTATTGTAAATTGTCTTGGTTGCCAGAAGAGCTTAGCAAAGCTGAAATAAAGTGTTAATTTAGGCCATCCTAAAAAACAAACAAACCAAAAGAAAATTTCTAAGGAATTAAGTCACTACGTTTACTTTTTTATTGGATTAATTGATTGAAGGTGTTGTAAAGTTCAAAAATAAAATAGACAAATATGTTGAATTCAGAAACCATCAACAAAGCTTTGGTGTTCTGTAAGAAAAAGCAGCACCTCTTAAATCCTTTAGTGGTGCCAGTCATGTTTAGGGCAGTCTAGTTGTTAAAATATGTTCTGGATTTCAGAAACACTTTTGATGTCATCCTTCACACCATAAAGGATCTAAACTGTCTCAGAAAAAGTAGGAAGTTGATCTCATGGATGTAATAGTTAATTCATGGCTTGGAAAACAGAGTAGGAATAAATAATCAATTTTTGCAAGAGAAGGGATATGCCATGGAGATCATTAAGGTATCTCTGTAGAGTCTCCATTGCTTCATATGTCGATAAATGATCACAGAAAAGGACTGAATAGTGCAAGGACAACACCTGTGCTGTCTCAATACTAAAAGTGGCCCATGAAATATAATGTTCAGTCGTGTAGTCAGTGAATGAAGGGCAAGAAAAATGCCTATGCATAAGTAGTAAAAGGTCTTGCATTAATTATTGCTGCTCAGGAAAGAAATCCTAACACCATTATAGACAAAACTGCAACAACTTCTGTGTTTGTGTGGAGCAGCAGTCAAAAAGACAAGTGGGGAATTAAGTGACTATAGAAATACTTTTATTCAATCATGTGACTGTCATACTGTTTATGTCTCAGTATCACACCTCCTTAAAAACATGCTGGTAAAATATGCATGGAGTAACTTCAAAACAAAGAGACTGTACTTAGCTTGTCATGCTCACTGTTTTAGCCTCAGCTTTGACAAACAACAGCTGAGTTTAGGCTGAAGTCGTATGAGATCATAAATACGTGTAGAAGTTCAAGAGGGGCATGGCTTTTCACTGCTTCTCAAACAAAAAGGGATATCAGGTGATGATGAGGAAAGCAGAGCTTGAACAAAAGGAAATACTTTGTCACACTACCTATTATTTAAGTGTGGAATTCATTGCCATGGTATTTAGTGGAAGTCAAAATTATACTTTTCGTTGAAAAAGAATTAGTGAAGTTTATATACAATGAAAGTAGGACCTTTTCCCCTTAAACTGCTAATTGTCAGAGGGTAGTTGCTGTTATGAGGCTGTCAGATGGGTGAATTTTGTTTCTGACCTAAGGTACCTTCTGTTCTTTTCACCATGACTTTATTTTTGGAGGGTTTTGTTAACCTTTCTGACAGTTAGGTTGTATTTGTCAAACAGCAGAGTTTTCCTAAACGATTCCTTTGGGGAGAGCGTATTTTAAAAGTCCAGGTTAGTACCTGACTGTTAATACTGACTAAATAATGCTATGTTACGCTGTGTTAGCATTTTGTAGAAATCACGGACGACCAGTTTGACTTCCACACTTACTGTATGAGGAAGATCACCCTTAGGTCTTATGTGGACTTGTTAAAACTAGAAGATGTGCTTCGACAGCATCCGTTCTACTTCAAAGCAGCACGAATTGCCATAGAGATATATTTGAAACTTCATGATAATCCCTTAACAGATGAAAATAAAGAACACGAGGCTGATACAGGTATGCAACCCTCAGGATTTATTAATTGTGCAGTTTCACTAATTAGTGGATATTTTATGAAGATCTAGCATTCTTGGAGTTGTAAACTGCAGTAGCCAAAAATAAAAGTTTTACACAACTCAAAGCGGGTAAATTGTAACTTCGACTGCATGTAAAAGTAGATGTTCTGCTGAAGTTTAACTAATACATGTTTTTGTCTTGGTTATTGTAAAACAATGATGGGGTTGTAGTGAGAGTTGTAATTCTTAAGTACAGATGTGCTTGTGTTATGGAGTGGCTGTGAAAACATGGAATTCTCATGGTGGTTGGTCTGAAATAACAGATGGAAGCCAATGTGCCTGGTGGTATCATTCTGAGCATTTTAAGAATATGCAAAAATTTCACTAGGTAGCAACTTAAATTTTATCATCTGGCTCGTGATGTAAAAATTACTTTAAAATCTATTGATATATTTTTTTTTCCCTCATCTCTGATTTGAGAGCAACTTAAGTGGCTTGGGGTACCTCAAACGGTATGAAGAGGCTCATCAGTCCTTCAGTAGGAATTTGTCAGCTTTTAGTATTTTTTTATCTCAGTTCATTTGTGTGGCTTTCAGTTCAAATTAAGACAGGTGGAAGTGTAATAGAATTTATTGCAGCCACTTCTGATGTGTTTTAAATTAACTCTCCCTATTCTAATTGGAGGGAAGAGAGGATCTGAATATGAATCAAATATGTCTGTAGGGCATCAGAAGCAAAGCTGAAATTGTCTATGCCAAAGTGGAGCTATTTCACCTTATTTTTGTTAGGCCATTTAATTACTACATTAAACATGTGTAATGCCTCAGGGAGAAATCAGTGAGTATTGCTGTGCACTTTTACTCCTGGTGCTGGATTTGTGGAGTCGTGCAGTAATTACTCTGTCCCACCTTCAGCATGTGGTTCTAATTCCAACTCCCTGATTCCACTAAGGAATTTGTGAGCTGTGGAGCAGAAGCACAGACTGTAAAGTAATTATTGATAGTAATAAGCTTCTACAGAGGTAATGGCAGCGCTGCTTGTTAGTAGATATGGTTTAAAGAAGGTGGTGGTGTCTTGACAACTGATGGAGACTGTTAATATTAGACATCAATGTTGTCTGGTTTTGCCCTTTGTGTGTGTACAGCGAATATGTCTGACAAGGAGCTAAAGAAGCTACGAAATAAGCAGAGAAGAGCACAGAAGAAAGCCCAGCTGGAGGAGGAAAAGAAGAATGCTGAGAAGGAGAAGCAACAGAGGAATCAGAAAAAGAAGAAAGATGATGATGATGAAGAAATTGGAGGACCTAAAGAAGAACTTATCCCTGAGAAACTGGCAAAGGTGCTTACTAATGTAATAATGAAGTCATAGAAATTGCTACAGAAGTTGCAGTGAGCACAGATAAAAATAGAAAGCCATTCAGATAACTTGTTTATTTTTTTTGGTGTGGCTTCTCTTCACAGGCAGCATGTTAAAAAGAATTCTTTTCTAGGGGTAGGTTGTTACATATACTGTCAGCATGGTGGAAATCACGGCTTTTGTGCCTGGTTCTGACAGGCACCTACTGCAGTCCTAAACATTAGCTACAGGTGGAACTATTTTCATGTGTGTATTGCACTAACTTGTTGATTATACCCTACTTCTGGTTGGTCAGATGGAAGTCTTTCTGTTCTATATGTAAGGTGATTATCATTTGCTCTTTTATGTCCCCTAATATTTTTTTGTTTATTAAGCATAGTCAGCCTGTGGAAGAAGAGCCATTGAAGCACTGAAGGCTTTAACAGGATTTGTTTGCATTTGTTTTGATTGGGAAAAAAAAAAGGGATAAAGCAGCTGTAGTAGTACATAGTAGTACACTAGACTGAGAAAGATTTTGAGATCTGGATTAAGAGCTGTAGAGATATATGAAGGGGAGGTGACCCAGAAAGCTATTGTTTTTGCTAAAAATTATACCTGTAAGGAGCAGGAAAACACTCGAAAAATGCGGGGGAAGATAAGGAAAATACAGAGACTGGAAAAATTAATTTATAGCAATAGTAGAATAGTATCCAAGTTCTGATAGATAGAGTATTCATGATGTTCACTTTACACATACAATGAGTATTATTTGCACTTAAGGTGGTATTTGAAGGTTGAGGCAGTGAAATTCACTCTGTAGCCAGGAAGCAAGTGACTTAAACTGCACTAGTTATTTAAGAATATTTTTGGTATTCCTAATGTTTAACTCACTGGCTGCAAGAAGCAGAACTAATTGCACTGCTGGTTAAGATTGAAATGGTCTCAGTGGTGTGTATTGAAATTGAGTTCTGGAGTAGAGGGACGTCATGGGGGGTAGCCCAGAGAAAACTAAGCAGTCCCCAAGATTATAGGGAATAGTTGCAGCTGTATAATGCATTCCTTTGGCAAAACTAGTTATGTATTTAAGATGTAGATGTCTGTATAATATAATTATATTCCTATGTTAGTATCGGAATCACGACACTTCCAAACGCAGTTGGTTCCTAGTGCCAGAGGACCATTTCTGACAGAGTTGATCACTTGCAAACAGTTTTCCTGAAACAGTTGCCCCGGACTTGTTTAGGTGTATAGCTTTGGCATTAGAGGCATAGCTTTGAAATCTGGTTTATTGTGGGTTCCAAATAGTTGATGTACACAGTGACATATGTAAAATCAACAGCATACAGAAATAATGCAGTTGTTTTTATGGAAGGTGCTGTAGTATATGTTTAGCAGGAAGGTGTTTGTCCTTGTCTTCAACTCAGTTATTTGCCATCAAGTGTATCACTTCAACATTACTATGTTGTTACTGACACACGAAAAATTTATCTGCTTCTTAGAGAGTGGCTTATGTTCATAAAAACAAAAACAGGAAGGACAATAGACAGTTCTTGTTTGACTAATCCTGAATGTCTAGATGGAAGAACCTATTAAGAATCCTTGCCTAGAATTAATTTGTGTTCAGTCTGCCTGTTTACTGGATTACACTGGGTAAGACCAGGAGACCTTGGTCAATGTTTAGTTGCTTCAAGCTTGCTGTTTGTATCTTGACTGGGAATGTTGCCATGACCTAGCAGCTCTTAGGAACCTGTCTGGAGTTCATGTCAGCAGAATGCTGTGGTCATTTATTAGTCATTTACCATCACCTCAGGCCTATGTGTGTAGGTTGTCATGGACAGCCCTACTGCCCATTTCAGAGCAGGTTCAGCTCCAGCTGTGTTCACCACTGATGTCTGATAGAAAGCAAAGACTTCTATCTCTATAGGAAAATGTGATTTGTAACCATCACAAAGCAAATTTTTAGACTTTTTATTCTATGTTTAAACACTAATATTGAGTGAAATATGCAGAATTTGTAACGGAAGAGGTTCTAAGCATCTTATGCACTGCCTTAGGAGAGTAACTCTCTGATGTCTCAGGAATAGCTAATTTTTGTTGCTATAGAGTAGGTTTAAACTTTGACTTGGTTGTGTGTCACTTCCTTGAATCCGTAGGTTGAAGCACCTTTGGAAGAAGCCATTAAATTTTTAACACCCCTGAAGAATTTAGTGAAGAACAAAATAGAGACGCATCTTTTTGCCTTCGAGATTTATTTTCGAAAAGGTAGGTGAGAAAACTAATGAGAGCAAGAAATTTGTGATTCGTAAAGCTGTACATTAGAACTTAAGCAAAAATTATTCATTGGATGTGAGGAGCCAGTCCCTCTTGAGACACAGAACTATTCATTGGACTGACACCCCAGCCACAAGCAGTCTGTGACAAACCAAAGTGTGAACATTTGATGATTATCCACTTAATTGGCTGATTAAATACGTGCATGTTAGAAAAAACAGCTGTTGCAGTACACTCAGCTATAATTTCTTCTGATCGTTCCAATTTCAAACACTAAATACTCCTGCGACACAATGTAGTGTTCCCACCACAGGTTTTTGAAATTTCCCAACACTTTTTTTTTTTTCCAGAGAAGTTCCTTCTGATGCTTCAGTCTGTGAAGAGAGCCTTTGCTATTGATTCTAGTCATCCTTGGCTTCACGAGTGTATGATTCATCTCTTCAGCAGTGGTATGTGTCTGTTTGGTAGGACTTCATCTGTACACACTTCCAGGTGATGCTGAGCCAGCATACAATCACTGATTTTTAGTTTACAGGCAATAATTCAAAATATTTAATACACATATTAGAAAGCCCTTTAAACCACTGGTTCCTGCTAAAACTAAGCATGTTTGTTATGACTGCAGCTGGATTTAGGAGTTATTCCAGTATTAGTAAGTCTTTTCAGGACTGTGAGTAGTATGGTGAAGCCTGAAAGAGTGAGGGAGTGAAGAAGTGGAACTGTACAGTGAGGAACCTTGCTTTTCTGCTGGCAGCCTGTGTCAGCGTGCAAGGAGAAGGCTTTGAATTCTGTCCTTTTTGGTAAAAGGTTGGACAGATTCTGCCCCTTCCCTTGCCCCAGAGGTCACCCTTTCTGATGGGGGCTACAAACTAGATACAGAACAGGCTTGTATGACAACAGTCTCTGAGCCTCATAGATTTTAATTAGTAAAAGTGGGACCGTATGAGTGTAAAAAAGCTTTGGCTTTTTCTAAGTATCAGAAAACTGTCATAGTTAAGCTTTTTCCAACCAGATCCAGTTATTTACCTTTTCAAATTTCGTGCATCTTCCTTCGAGATCCTTTCCAATTATGTTAATAATGTAAACATGAAAAATATTAAATACATAAAGTATATTTTACTGTGATTACCTGTGCCCACCTCAGTTAACTTCTTTTTTCCAATTGAGCAGTATCTGAAAGTAAGGATCTGCCTGATGCTGTTAGAACAGTGTTAAACCAAGAAATGAATCGGCTTTTTGGAGCAACTAATCCAAAGAACTTCAATGAAGCTTTTCTTAAAAAGAACTATGACTCACTGCCACATAGGTTATCAGGTACTTTGTCTTTATCCTTGTTCTGCCCTACCTCTGTATTTTCTGTGATTACCTGGCAGTGGTATCTCAGTGTCAGCCCAGGTGATGTTACAATCTTTCCCTCAGGAGTGCTTTTCTGCTCTCAGTTTCAGTTCTTCTGACATGATTGCCAAGTTGTCTCTGGTTTTCTTTGATTTTATCTTTGTGCTGCTGTAGTACAAATGTTTGGACCTCTCTGCCCTATCTGTTGTAATTTCTGATGTCTGCTGAATGTTTTAGTGCTTTGTCTACCCGAGTAGGTGTCAAGCTTTGTGCTCCAAGTGGTTCCATTCTGAACTCCTGCTGGAGAGTTCAGTCCCCCTCTTAGTCCTATTAGATCTACTTTATGTTTGTATATAAGACACTTTTGGTCATCGACTTGGTGATGAGTCTTATTTTTCCTCCCGTAGCTGCCAAAATGATGTACTATTTAGATCCTTCCAGTCAGAAAAGGGCAGTGGAGCTGGCAATGACCCTGGATGAATCCCTTATTAACAGAAATCTTCAGGTAACATATTAATAAATTGTAAACAATTTCTGGTGTATCTGTGGGAGCTTTATGCAAATTTTGGAGGTAAGAGGAAGCTGACATGGTTGCTGTGCCTTATGGTAAGGAGGTTGAGTTGTGAGAGAGAGGGGTGTCAGGTTCTTCTGAACTTAAATGTTTAACATCCTTTTCACACTTCTAAATTAATTTAGTTTTGTGATAATATGAAAGTAGCAACAGCAGAAACCATGTTATTGCCACAGGTAGTGGGAAAACTTATTAAACACAAGAGAATTCACATGGCAAAAGATGCTAAGCTCTCCTTTAAGAAAAGACAGTAGTCTGTCTGAGCTTTGGCTGTCACACAGGTGACTGTTCACAAGAAAAAGATTGACTTAGGAGTGGCCCAGACTCTGGGAAGGCTTTCCATAGTCAACTTTCTGCAAGCTGTGGGAATTACCTGAGGTTTAGTAAAAGTTGCATATGCACATTTTAGCCTTAGTGTGTAGTTTAACGAAAAGCTTCCCAAATTTTGAATCTTTGCTCCATTCTGGTGGTCGTGGAATAATCTCCCTGTACCACTGCCCCACGTTCATCTGGGAAGACTGTCAGTTGTGACTTGCAATTTACAGTATTTTAGAAAGGTAATTTTTCTTTGTATTTTCATATGTTTCTTATAAAAATTAATAAACATGGTCTTTTTTCTTCCTTTGACCACATACTTACCTGGCAAAACAGAGAAGGAATAAAATGTCCTTTGAGGGTTTTTTTTAAGTTTTTTCTAAACTATTTCTGTATCCCAGGCAAACTGTTTTCCTTGTATCATGTAAGAGTGTCCAGCACATTTTATTAGAGAGATTCTTTGGCAGGCTGTGCAAACTTATTTCTTTATTGTCCTCTTTGTTTCTGCACTCAGGAATTTTTTAGATGTATTGCAAGTAAAATTGGTGAACTTTACTATAAAATTGTTCTTCCGTGAGCAAAAATCGATATTTTCCAAAAAAACGTCTCTTTGGAAATACACTGGGTTCAATAGAACTTCAATTTTTTGTGAAGGATTTTAAGTTCATAGTGGAATTTTTGGACCAGACAGAAAGGGGAAAAAGAGACAATAAAAAGCAAATTGCTGAGATTTATAAACTCGTTTAGGATGTTAAAGATTCAGATCCTTTCTCTACGCTAGCTGATTGGTATGGGACACAAACTTGTGTGTTTTAAATCCTAAGTACATATTTAACAGTTTTCATAAACTTGTCTTGTTTGGGTGTTGTTTTTTGGAATAGCATTTTTTTCTTTACCGTTTGAGTGATCTCAGAGCTTAAGCCAGGTTATTAATAGATTTAGAAAACAAAAATTAATTTAGCGTTAACAGCCTTCTTTTTGCTGTTTTTTGCCTGGGAGTGGGATTCTGGGAATTGGACTGGGGAGAGATTAAAATGTAATAAAAAATGCCTGGTCATTGTGGAGGTGTTAACTTGGTAGGACTAGAGGAAGCATTTAGCAGCTCAGAGTGTATAAACATGCTGTATGCTGCATTATGATAAAACTGAAAATGGTGAATTCTGGGTGCCAACATAAAGTAAGAGTTGGAGTTCTGCTAAACTTTTAGAAGGGAAATTGGAAGTGCCCTAAAAATTGAGAATCAGGGCATTTACTGAAAGGCATTTTTGTGTGCAATGAGATCAAATTTATTACATTTCATTTTAGTAAAGACCAGCAAAGAGCAAATGTGAGCAAAAGGGGTTGTTGAAGAGAACTTCATAACCCCACAGCAGGAGGACAGAGCAGTTAATCTCAATACACAGAAGAAATGAAAGCTATACCAAATGTCATAGGAGTGGGAAAAGACTGACTTACTATGCTAATGCTTGCACACACAGCACAGGCAGATGTTAAATGCTGACAGGCTTTAGTGAGGCTCAGTAGGTTGGTTTCTGATGTTTGCAGTGCAGGTTGGAAAAAAAAAAACCCACAGGAAATCTCCTTTTTCTCTTCTAAATCACGAATAAAAATGGATAGGGAACTGCATATATCTGAAGGATGTGGTAATATCAGAGTACTTTGATTTGATTCACTAGTTACAGGCACACTTCAGCAACTCACATGACCTTAAGTGTAAAAATGTGGGGGGTTTTCCCTACCAGAAATGTTTTCACATTAATTATGGTTATTCAGCTAATGCTGTTTTCACATCTTATTTATATTCCACAGTTCACAGAAGTCATTACTAGGAAATTATAGTATATGTTCTGTATTCATTGTTTTATTTGCAAACACTAAAGGTACATTATGTACATTATGTCAGTGTATCCCCCAACTGGTGGGGTTCTTGGTTGCCAACTAGTAAGAAAAAAATTTTTTTAGGAAAAAAAGGAGCAGGTGACAAATGAGTGTTTTCATTTTCCAGTCAAGATTTCTAACTGGTTTTCGGATCTCTTTTTAAATCGCATTCTTTAAATCAGACTACCCTGTATTTCACGCTGTGTCTAATTAAAATGGCATTTGATGTTGAATAGGGGCAGGTGTGTGGCAGAAATACTACTTTAAACTTGTCTTGTGAGTTTGCTCTTATCTCATACAGCAAAACTGCTGTTTGAAACCTGTAAAAAATACTTGGAGTTTGTTTTCTTTGTAGTATTGTATTTCTGGCTTGTGAGTGTTCAGCTGAATGTTTAAAAAAAACATAACCCTTCTTTATTTTTCTCTTTAATTAGACTTGTATGGAGGTATTAGAAGCTTTATGTGACGGTAGCCTTGGAGACTGTAAAGAAGCATCTGACACTTACAGAGCAAATTGTCATAAGCTTTTCCCTTATGCTTTGGCTTTCATGCCCCCTGGATATGAAGAGGATATGAAGATCACAGTTAATGGAGACAGCTCTGCAGAACCTGAAGAACTGGCCAATGAAATATGAACAACTTTATTGGAAAAAAATGACGTTGGACCATATCTGGTGTATAATATTTTTGTCACGCACCTGCTGAATTGTTCTAACTTACACAAAAGAACAGAAGGAAAAAAAAAACCAACCTGGTTGCCTTCAAATAGTTTTACTTTTTTTTTTTATCCTGCTGACAAATATATATATAAAATATCTAACATATTACTGGTTATAGGTTGTTCGGTTTCTTAAAAATTAAAAGCTGCTAAAATTGAAAAAGGAAAAAAAAAAACAACAACCCTTCTCCCTACCTACCTACCCACCCATGTTTTTAAACTAATTTATATGAGACCTGAAGGGGTATGTGTCCCTCAGAGCAGGTGTGTGGCAGAAATATTAACTTTAAATTTGTCTTGTGAGATTACTGTTATCTCAGACAGCAAAACTGCTGTTTTAGCACTGGATTCTTTCACTGAGCACAAAGAGTTGATGGGGCTTTAGCATCTGACTGATTTTGATACGGGGGATGATTGTGTCCATAGGAAGTATGCAATGCGAATCAGAATATACAGAGAAACCTGCAACATACGTGCTATGTTGGGGGTGCTTGGACATACAGGATATCAAGCAGAATTAAGAAACATAGTGTGTTCAATAAGCTTGTTGTGTCTCTGAAATTCACTGTACACGATCAGTTTATTGTTCTTGCACCACAGTTTTTAACTGAAGGAACCAGTTAAAACGGTCTCTCCTGGGATTAAACTTGGCGGGGGGGAGGGAGGTGGGGAGGGGAGAATCAGCGTTGCTGTTCTTGAGGTGAACTTATCAGCGTGGGTTGGCCAAACTTTTTAAAACTGTAATGCAAGAACCAAATAAAAATTATGCACTGTGATGTGGCACCAACTAATTAGAAAGATCGCATGCATTTTTCACGTAGAGTGAAAACAAAATGAGAACATACTATGGCTTGAAGTTGCAAAGAGGAAAACTCCTGACTACCATTTTGACTGATCAAGAGACTAATAGATTAAAACCTCAGCAGGCCTTGTTCATGTTATGCAGAAAAAAAAAAAAATAAAAAAGTGCTGCAGTTTAGATACCTCTGGAACTTTTCCACAGTGTCACAGGTTTGTAATACTTGAAGCCCTACATTTCTTAAGAATATATTTCTTGCTCAGTTGTTTCAGGCAAGCCCAAGACTTTGTAACTTTTAAGGGGCCCAAAATTTTTTTTCAATAACAGACCAGCTTCTTATTCCTGCAGTTACAAATGTAATTTCCTTTGTCAAACATAAGGTACCAAATATAATGCAATAAAACGTTTTGAAAAACAATTGTGTGAATATTTAAACCAATCTATGTTGTACTTTGAAAATGAATGGGTTTGCTAGAGTGCAGCTCAGGGTTGGCTTACTGTGCTGTCCAGTCATGCTAACAATGTCACTCCTGATGGGTGATCATCAAGTATAAAATGCAAATGCATTATATGTAAATACTGAATGTCTGGGAAGTCCTATAACACAGAATGCTTTGTTACTTGGCTTTTAAGTTCCACCAGTGTTAGGTTGAATTTTGTTTTCCAAGTCAAGCTTCAATCTACAAGTCTACTGTGTTAATAATATAGATAAGTGCTCAAATGTTTTCTTTTGTAGGTTCATCATATAAAACAGAGCAGAAATAAACTACAGCTTACAAAGTGAGTGCCTTCTTTGCTGCAGAAGTTGAGTTACAGAGTATCTGTCATGTGGATACACAGCCTTCCTCTTCCACATCATGGGATTCAGCGATATTGACATGTACAGTTAAGAAATCCTGGAAGACTTATTGGGATTTGTAGTTTTTTAACTGTCAGAAGAACAGATTTTTGTTGTATATTCAGCTCCACTTTCTTTTCATGGTTAGACTATCCTTGTGTATGTTTGCAGTGTAGTTTCTGTCGGAAATGTAAGTTGTGTTGCTGTATTTGTATATTTAACCTGCTGGGCTTTTAGGGACTAGAATACCTACAGAGCCTTTACTTGAGTCTGGTATGTATGTCTTAATCTCAGTCATTTCTGCAGCCTGAGATACTTGGACTGCATGTCTTCTGCAACTACTGAAGATGGTTCAGTCTTGCCTACACAAGCTACAAGCTTTTGGCCTTGCCTCTGAGTATTGCTGCCGTTTCCTTGGCTTCTGATGCTTAGCTGGAGGCAGATGAGTGTTCACTCTTAACAGATTGTGAATTGCATCAAGCAAATTCTGTTTTTTCCAAATACTGTTTTTTGGGTGCTGCCTATAAATGGGATTATTTCTTTTACTTTTTCACTGCCTGTTTTTGCGTTGAAATGGATGAACTAGAATCAAGAAGTTACTTGTTATCTGTCATTATGCAAATGTGGGAAAGGATATTTCAGTGGGCCTTCCAAAAGCCTCCATCTACCCATCTGTCGTGATTTTCCCCAAGGATACTACTTCATAACCTTGCTTGAAGCCATCTATTAGTGCTTCAGAGATGATGCTTTTGGATTAAAGAGGTTCCTCATCCCCTTCCAGAAGACTGCAATCCCAGGAAAGGAAACTAAGCCAAGAGTTCACCTAAAGACGAAGGTTCTTTAATTGGCAAAGGAATTGTTATTCCTTCATCTTCATCTCTCTCCTGTTAGATGCAAGGCTAGCTTCTGAGGAAGAGTTTTAAGAGCTGGAAATGAAGTTACAATCCAATGCAATGAGTCTTGTGAAGTGGTAGCACAGAGTGTTGTGCTGCAGTGAAAGCTTTCCTTTGCGTGCTGAGATCCAAAATTGTAATTATTGATGCTTGGCTGACAACACAGGTGAGCAGGGATTGCATTCATGGTCAGTGTTGGCTTACTCATGAGTCATGATTTGTTTTGATGCATGAATTTTGCTGGAGAAAGATGCTTTCACCATCAGTGGAGCCACTGGTGATGACATGCTGTGGATATCTCCCGGGGGAGGGGGGGAGGAATTCAAACAACAGAGTTTCCCTAGATGAGAGACTGTAGATGGTGCAAATGTATGTTGCATGAAGCAATGCCAGAGTCAGAAGTGGGCCTAAATTGTAAATAGCTGAGAGTGGTCATTCGCCCCGTGATGGTGCGTGAGGTACTCGCCTCCTCCGTGTGGAGAACAGAGCATACAGGCATGCATGTGAACAAACAGGTAAAATTGTCTCAAAGTTATCTATTCAGCAGCTCATTCCTTTGCATCCTAAATGCCTTAAAAGCTTCTGTATTCTTCTGCATTTATGGGGGTTTCTTTCAGTAGAGGTATTGGTACTTCCGTGGTCATAGGGGAGGAGTCACGTCCTGATGTCTGCTGTGTCAGGAAGGAAGTTTGCCACTCAGTTTTTCCCCTGGCATGGGGAAAAAATTCCACGTTTCCCAGGGGGCTCTCTAGGGCTTGATGAAGTGTGTATAATTACCCTGTTAAATCTTCCTTTAACGTATGGGTTTGCCAGGTGTGGAGGAGCTACAGCTGTAACAGTAGATCCTGGAAGCTGGTGCAGCACCTTCCTTCAGCCAGATTGAATTGTCAGTGTCTTCCTAGAAGAAAACACGGGTGAGGTTAGGGTGAGATCAGGCCTGAGAAGCCAGAGGCGCAAATACAATTTCAGCATCACGTGAGCAAGTTCAAATAAGAACACTGAAGATTTTTGTTTAACGTGATGCCTTTGAGGGTTGGAGCAGCGGTGCCATCGTTCCTGCAGTGCTCGCATTGTGTCGCCACAGTTGTGCTTTGAACATGTGCCACTCATGCCAACAAAACCACTGGATATCACAATCCAGCTCAATACACCTAAATTAAAATCTTATTTTTCCCTTTTTCTGATTGCTTTGACTGTTAGTTTCTAAGTGTTCTGTACGGGGTAACTAGCTGGCTTTGAAATCTTTTTCCCTAAGGAATTTTGCTTTAAAAATGCCGTTTGGACCTACGTGGTAATTTATAATAGCTTGAACTATGTGGAAGTAAGAGTTATGCTTGTGCGATAACACACTGCTTTAGGATTCTGTGCAGGAAAACAGTGCAAATGTAGTATAATTAGACAGTCTATTAGTAAATGAATTGAGAAGTCTTTAAGCTCTTTAATGAAAGCTGAAGTTCCAGATGGAGGAAAATGATTGCTGAGCTTGGGGAAAGACTCTTGCTTCCAGGAGCATTCCAGTAGTGAACTGTTCTGTGATATGGTGAGGAGTGAAAGGTGTATTCTTTTACAAAACCTGTGGTCGTGCTGTCATGACTTTATTTCCTGGACATTAAAGCTGCAGTCTGCAAACACCAGTTTTAATGGCTGTGTCAGGCAGAGACTCTTCTTCCCAGGAGCATACACACAGTCAGCAGTGAGAATGGCAAGGAGCAACTGATAGAGCAGCTCAGCAAAGGGAGACTGAAGTGAATTATAACGAGGTGGCATAATAGAAATCCCATTTTAGATTAAATATTAAATAGCTTTTTAACTACTAGAAAGATGACTGAAGCTGTAAATACTATAAATGCTGTCTTCCCATGCCAAGGAAGCTGTAAATGTGTATTACTTTTAGAGTGGTACAAGCAAAGAGTAGTATGTTCGCAAAGATTCTAGCTTTGTATGTTAGTATTCACGTAAATCATGGCAGAAAATGTGGAGGACAAAGATTGTCCAGTTTACTAGGGACCATATCAAAGGGTTTGTAAGAGTATTGCAAGAGAAATATTACTGAAAAATCCAAAGCATCTTAGAATAACTTCCCTAAGATGTTTGTTTTAATTGAAAGTGTTACACCTGTTAATTGTTCATAATGAGACACAAAAAAGTACTTTTACAAAATATTTCTGCCTGGCACTGCCCATTCAATATCTACCTCTACTAGTCCTAGTCTAGTTCAGCTACTGCATAATTTTAGCCATTTAGCATATAACACATGAAAAAGTGTCATTTACCTGGTCGGTGAATGTATGATGATGGATAACATTTAGTTTTAAACTGTAATGCAATAAACCACGAACTTAGTGAAAGTCCTGTTGTTGGTTCAGTGCAGCAGCATATTTATTGCTTCATTGCTGATCCGTTAAAAAAAAAAAAAATCTTAATGATAAACTCCACCAAGCCACTTGCTGTTGTACCGGGATTTGCTTTCCCTTCCAGCCTTCCTAACTGGTTAACAATGTTGTACTGTGTTTTTACGCTCTTCTCTGGTGGTAGCAAATATCAAAACTGGCAGGAAGTCAATCAAAGAATAAAAATGCTGAGTTCTGTTTGTAAATGAGTACTAGTGTTTCCTTGTAGGGTCCAGCATCCTCCTTAGATGCCCACCAGCTCTGTAATAAACGATCCCTTGGCTCATTCCCTTAATTCCCCATTGTCTCCTTCCATGCTGATGGATTGTTAACTGGGGTGTGGGTCTCGCAAAAGGAAGAAAGGTCAGTAGGGAAAGGATGTGATTCTTTTTGAAGTCAGGCTGCAGAAGAACCACCTTGGCAGGAAGCTGTCTGTCCTAGCCTAGAAACTAATTGTAGCTACAAAGAAAAAGATCCTTTGCTTTTTTTCAGGCTACAAAGAGCCTGGGGGTTTGAAAAAGAGGTGTTCAGAAGCAAGCTGACTGAAGAAGCATTTGCTGTTTTCCTCAGATATGGGTTTGGGGGATGAAATAATAAAATGTAGCTTTCTCTTCCCCACCCATAAGTCCTCCTGATCCCGAAGTTTTCCTGACCCAGTGTCCCTGAATGTCTTGTGATTGTAAGCAATTATCAGGCAAAATAATATGGTAATGCTGACAAACTGGGGCAAAAGTAGCCAGCAAACTGCTGACACAGCAGTGTAAGAACCTATAATGTGTTGTGGACTGGACGGTTAACGTTACCTGAAAAAAACGTTTGTTAACAATTGTGTGCAGTGAATAACAGCTCTGGTTACCGCTGTCTGCAGTGAGCACAAGGACTCCAGCGCTTGCAGGGTCTGCATTTGGTTGTGGATGCCTGCAGGGAAGGTGGGTGTGATACTGAAGTGATTACAGCAGTATCCTCATACTCCCCCCTTTGGATGGGAAAGGAGCTTGTTGCAGTCAAGGTTCCTTTGGACACCTCGTACCCTTCTGAAAAACAGCATCCCCTAAAAAATAGCATCCCTTCCTTATCCATGTCCTCAGTAACTTCACTGTTCTTCTGGGGAGGGAAGGGGCATTCCTGCTGGGAAACCACCTGCCTTGAACTTTTAATACTTTGAGACCACACCCTTCCATTTCTGGGAACAGCACCTCGTGGTTGTCTACAAGAGGACTTGAAGCACAGAAGATTTATGAGGAGCCAGGGTAGCCTGGCAGTTCATGCATTATTTTATCTGCATAAATCTCTCAGTTCTGACCTTTCATCAGTACCCCTCCACTCCATCAGGATCTTCCTACCTTGTCATTCATTATGCTTCTGGAAACTGTTCTGAAGGTCCCTCATGCAGTAGCAGAAAGACAACGTCTTTCTGCAGTCCCTCTGTCCCTTAAAATGCTGCAAGGTTGCATGCTAAGTGCCTTCCTCCACCTACGAAACCTCCACAGGTCCTACTGGAGGTGAATAAAAACTGCTCTAAAAACAAAACCTAATTGATTAACCCATTGTTGAACAGTTGGAAAAGCAATGTCAGAGTTCTGGACTCTAATCTTTTTAATTTTTTGAAGGAATACGTACAAAAGTAATGTTCTCATTTTTGATTGCATGATTTCTGCAGTGCCTAAGCTGTTGTGAAGCAGGGAAGGAGGAATCACCCTCAGTCTCTGCCTCACCTATGCTACAGATGAAGCCATTGCAGTACTCTTAACTTTATTCCCATCTTGCCTTCATGCAGTGAACCCAGGGGATGTGTAAATGCTATTTATTTAGGGGAAAATAAAGTGTGAGCAATGATGTGGCTGCTGAGTGGATCATGCAAGACTGGCATTTCCATGGTAAGTGCAAGTTGTGGGGCTTTGAGGGCTTGTTCAGTGTCTGGCACTTTCTCCTGAACTCAAAACCACGAGCCACGGCTCCAGCCTTTGAGAGCACTACAGGGATGTCTGTCAGCCCCTGAGAGCAGGAACAGCTCTGTTCCACTGCATATATATTGTATGATTTTATTGCAAAAATATGAAACTTTACACCATATACTCATAATATATTAAGCTGCTTTTATTAGTTAGCTGCTATTTTTTCTTGCAGTTATGTTTATAATCTGCAAGTATTTTTATAATTTTTTTAGGAAAATGTTGGCTTCTGGCTGTCTACATCATGCATTTCAAACACTTTTTTTCTTCATAGGAATCACCAAATGTTCATAACTTTTCATCTCGCTTCACTTGCAGTATCAATAAATGTCTTAATGAAATGTAACTGCTTGAGCTGGAAAAAAAACAATCTTTGCTTCACTGCAGAGTGAACTTGTCTGTGCTTTTGAATTCTTACGTTGTCCTCTGATGAGCATCTTTTCACCACGTTCTTTACATTCTGTATTGCAGGACCCTGATGGTGGAGAATGATTACCCCCTTCAATTAGACTTTTATATTTTTTGGCAAAACTGGCTGAGATCTCGTTATACAGCCATATATTCTGTACAGCAGCAGCAGGGGCTGTCCTGGAAGGCACCTCACCCACCTGAATCCTCTCCATGCAACGGTTCAAAGGCACTGACCCCTAGGGTATGGCCTCCTTCCTGAATTCCCCCGTGCTCCAAACTACAATACAGAAAGCAAAGGGGGATAGAGAAGACATAATTTTTAGTTCCTCTCACTCCTAGGCAAACAACGCCCCTTTTTTATGTAGTCTGGCCCAGGTGACCCCTGAGCACTTTCAAACTGGGAAAACCCACTGGATATCCTTCTGGCACCAGGGGATCACGGGGAGATGGGGGAGTGCAAGTCTCGTCCAGCTCTCCCATTACCACTGTCTTTTCTCAGAGTTCTATTCTGTGTTCTCCGCTCCAGTCAAAACCATGGAGAGGGGATCGGGAATGCCACACAGACCAGAGAAGAGTTTAGGTGACGAGGACCACTGGGCAACTGATCTCTTATCCCCACAACTCCCTCTGCTGCTGAGGTTGCTGGATTTCTGCCTCCCTTGACAGAAGGGAGAAAAAAATAACTGCACAAGGCAGTGCGTGCCAGTAAGGGAAAATCTCCACCAGCAGAGAGCACAAAAGGATGTGAGACACTGGTTTTCAGACAAAAGCATGAATGAACAACTTGGGAGCATTCCAAATCTGGCTTGATTGCCATCCTGCCTTTTATAAATTATAGACAGGTACACAAATTGTATGTGTGCTATGTGAACAACGTATGGTGACCTAAATTTACTTAGATACTTAAAGAGAGGATAAGCCTTGTGTGGCAACTGGGTTGAAACTGAGGGAGCAAACTGATCTCAGTGCCAGGCTGATGCACCAGCTGTTGCCAAGCATTAAGCCACTGGGATAAATACAAGCAGTATTTATATTTATTTGTTCAGTATACTCTGCATACAATAAAAACCCCTTGTATTTGGTTGCTGGCTGGGGTTAATCCACGATAGTGTTTTTTTTATTCAACGTTTTAATTGAAATCGCAGTAGGACTATGCCCTTGATGACAAGTAAGAGCCTGGGAAAAGAAGGAAAGCTTATTCTTGCAGAAGCAAGTAACAAAACCACACCCTGAGATCATACTGTTTGAAGAAAAACCTGTTGCCAGAAAACAAAACGCACGGTATATCCTCACCTCAAGCAGTCTTGGGAGTCAAGGGCCCAACATACAGGCAAATCGCTGGGAGATCACAACTGGATTTGTTTGCTGCCTGGAATGATTGACTGGGGGCCTTGATAAAGACAGGTAAATATAGAAGCTCTGTGACATTTGGTGAACCTTCCTGCAGTGCTGCCTTGGGACATGCAGACAGCCCTTAAGCACAGTGTGTACGACTGCGGGGAGAGAGAAAGCAGGGACATGGCTTTTAGTTTAAGACTTGCTTGGCAGATCAAAATGCTTCAGAGCAGCTTTGCTGCTCGCTAGTGCTCTCTGCAACCCCGCTGGCAAGGTGCTCCCTGTTTTTTCTGACCTCCCCCCTTGGATAAGCCAGCCCAACAAGGCAGAGGGCACACTCAGCACTGGACCAAGGATGTGCAGGCAGCGTCACTACAGGTTTGGAGAGCCTGGGTTTCTGTGACAAGCTCGACGCAGAAGTCAGTCAGTTGTCCCCTCAGCTACCCAGACAGGCCAAGGGCTCGTTCTTCCAGCCACTGCCATCCCAGGGCTGCACGACCTTACATTTCTGTACAGACCCAGATGGTCAAGCAGCGTTTCAAGCACTGGATGCAATCCCACAGCCACTCCGATTCTTATGAGTAGGGATGTCAAGTGGGTGCTCCTACAGAAATACCACTCATAAAGCTGAGGTTGCTGCCTTTAGCATTAAGGGTCCAGAGTTTCTCTGCCCATGTTTGGCAGAGCAGAGGGTTCTCATGCAGAGGATTTGCATTTGTGTCAGACAAATACAATGATGACATGTCTGCTGGATGAGGCCTATTATCATCCAGACAACCTAAAACACACACTGATCTCCACATTAAAGCCCCAGTCTACCATCAGGCACTCAATAAGGATAAAATCCAAGCACAAGCTAGAAATGGGAAAGCTTTTACTTCTTTTTCTTTTCTTAAGGTTTTTCAGTTTATAGTTTTGATGAGAACAAGGGCTTGGAAGTGAGTGAGAAAGTCGCACTCTGATAACTGGTGGTAAAAGCAGCTGTGTCAAAGCTTCATTTCAGTGCAAAGATAGATGAGACATTTGACCTTATGATTTCAACAGGGTATGTTAATACTTGCTTTTTCAGTGTGACATACAGGGTCCTTGAATCCTGTCTCCCGAAAAGCTGTCCTTTGTGCCTCCAACATTTCTGCCATCTGTATTTTATCATAAAGAAATATGTTAGTGGGAGGTCAAACTCTTCTTAGACTTGCAAAGTCAAGTCTTGCAATAGTAGAGCTTTTCCTTGCAAAACCACAGGACTTTTTCCTGCAAAAA